GTCTGAATATAAACACGTGTATCTGTCATCTTCCTTTGCAAGACTCTTCTCCCAAGAAGAGAAAACTGATTTCTCATGTGTTATCCCTCTCAACATATGCCCCATGTCTTACAAGACTCTCACATTTTGTGTAAACAATAGCACTTGTGTCACTTAAAATTGAGATATAATTATTTCTCATTAGCAAGTATTGCTGTAATATTTGGGTGGGAGGAATTGAAAAGCAGACAGCTGTTAATTTAAAAAAAACCAAACAAACACATTTCAACCACTTTCAAAGTCTTCTTTCAACCACCTTCAAAATCTTCAAGTAAACAGCATTTTTCCTGCCAAAGTCAGAACAATGAGAGCTGACAAGATGAGATGTGGAAGACAGCTCCTCACCCATCACTAGCAGATAGCTTTCCAGGCCAGGGCTGGAATCAAGCCATTAAGCCACCCTTGCAGAATAATCTCACCAGTGATTTTAAGTCCTGCTTCTGTTCTTTTGCTGAACAAAAAACCCACTTGAAAGCACATTTTCACATACCAGGAGTGCTGTATGGTTAGTACAGTAATACAGACAGAAGGAAGATTCAGCTCCTCTCAAACTGTATTTCCAGTGTATTTCGGCCACAGATTTGATAAGTGACCACAGGCAAGTCACTAAAGCCTCCAACAAGTTTAACATGGAGCATCCAATTATCCCCATTGCTGTTGGGCTGAGAGTTAAGCAGAAACTTTTATCTGTAGTAGACTTGGCCTTCTCTTAAGCCAGCCCTAAAGCAAAGTCCCTTTCTCATGGGAATGCTTCAGGCTAGCAGAGGAGAGACTCACTCCTGAGAGTGGGACTCTGCTTCACCTGCCTTGGGATCCACAGCCATTGGCATGGGGAACTTAGGACAACACATCCAGAGAGCAAAGGCTCCTCTGTGTTTTGTCATTTGGGCATCAGTCCTGGGAAGCAACGTGTGCGTGTTCCCCTTCCTCAGGAGCTGGGTGCCACCTCTGAAGCAGGTCTCTGCCCCATAGGAGGGAGGAAACAATCTATCATCAGCAAGGTGGGACGGTTTTAAATTAGACATAGGCTACTGTTTAAAGAAGAAGCTTACTTTAATCCAGAGATAGCAACAAAGATCAACAGGACTGAGTCATCTGCCTTGACACTGCATGTCTGTCTGCTCCTATAAGCAAATGCTTTTCACTCCACTTAATGTTTTATGCATTTGCATACACAGTTAGAAGCCTCTGATTATATAGCTGCCCTCAAACCCCAAGCTTGGGAGAAACTCTTGACAGCCTGCTAAAAAAAGGCTGGCAGAACTTGCCTTCAAAATGCACTGCAAAAAACCTCAAATCCCCCTCACCCACTGCTGCCCCTGCTCTGACCCAAGCAGCCCAGTACACTGGGAAGGTAAGATCTGAGGGATCTAAGAGTTGTCTAAAACTACTCAAAAACTATTTACCAAGGTAGTGGAGGCAAACTCTTCTCCGTGGTGTCATATGACATAACAAGCAGCAGCAGCAACAGTCTTGCAAGCTTCAGGATAGATACCAGGAAAAAAGCATCACTGGTAGGGTAATGCAGGACCAGAACAGGCTGCCCATAGAGGCTGTGGAATTTCTGTCCTTGGAGGTTTTCATCACCTGGCTAGAAATAGTCATGGCTGACCCCCTTTAGTGCTGGCCACAGTCCTGCCTCCAGCAGGAAGTTGGACAAGATGACCTCTAGAGTTCCTTTCCACATAACACTGTGTGATTCCTGGGCTTCCATCAGAACATCATGTACTTCCAGCTAAGAACAGGCAGTGCCATGGCCAGAGTTAGTGAAACAAAGACATTCAGCACCAAACCCCGACTTTCTAAATATCAGCATGGGGGTATTATTCTGCATCTTAACATGATGAAACACTGCTGTTGCCATAAGCTGTATTGCTGGACACAGAGGTACCACCTCTGCTCTGCTCAGCTTTGGGTTCTGCTCTGCAAAACTGTAACACAATGTGGTACTTCTCAAAAACACCCAAAGGACAACTGCCATTGTCCTAAATCCATTCAGATTTTTCAACTCAGACATCCTGGGAAAACTGAAGTAACAAATAGAAAAATGGTATCTTTAAAGAATCTCCTCCCTTACCACATACATTCCTCCTTTAAACTGGCCAATATTTTTACCTTATTCCTTTAAGCTTCCCAGGCTAAAAAAGTATGTGCAGAATTCAATGCAAGTGACATGCCACAACTTCGAAGCTAGTGACGAAAAATTACTAGCACACCATTTGAAATTATGTCTTCCCTAAAGCCAAGAAACAAGGCACACACAAGTGAAGACCCTGTCAATCTTCCCCACCCCCTGTTTTGAAAACGCAGCATTTCACAGCCCTTCTGTCTGATCCAGGCTCCTTTTCCTCTGTCAACATGACCAGAGTTCATTGAGAATCACTATGATAACAGACTTGTATAAGCTATATACTTTGGCCTGTGCCTGCCATTAACCCCTGCTGGGATGACTAAGTTATTAGTTAGCTTAGTTCTGCCTCAAAATAACATCAAAAAAGTAACTACAGCCTTGCAGCAGCTGTATAACCACTCTGTACAGTACTGAGCATCTCTAGTCGTTTCGCAACCTTCTACTATTTTTTTCAGTCTTTTAAAAGCCAAAATAGGTTTTTAAACAAAGTCTCTTTTTCCTGAGAAAAATGAAAACCAACTCCATTTTCTGTGTAAAACAACAACAAAAAAAAAGAGTAAACTACCAGTGAACAGGGAAATGCATAGCCATTGGAAGTGGCAGAGGAACAGCCCACGCACATTACAATAGATGGGCAGAAATCTGCTGCTCCAGTAAAGAAGGACCAAATCCTGCTCTGGAGTATAAAGCAAAGTTATTCTCCCAATTCACATTTTATGCTCACAGCTAGAAACAGTGTTACTGTCTGACATCCTAATCAAATGTGCAGGATGTGTTCAGCTGCTGAGGACAAAGAACTCGCTATGAGCACTTTCAGAGTTGCAGCAGATATGACCAAACACACTGATCTCACACAGCGACCTCCCTTTGACCAAAAGAAATACATTAAACATGAGATTTGTCTCTTAAATGTTACCCCAAGTGAGCAGTGTGTGATGGTCTCGGAGGCCTCCCACGCCTTGGACAATCACATGAGCACTTCTGTTGGAAGCCAGTCCCACCACTGCTGAACACCACCGCAGACATCTTTGGAAAACCTCTGTGACCACAGCCTTGGAGAACACCAGGCTTCAGCTGAGAACCACCTCTCTAGGAAAGCCCCACAGATCTTGTGTCCAGCTTTCAATCCTGATGCAATGACTAAAAGACCAGGAACTGTCTGGTTCTGTTTCAAGTTTCTGTCACAGGACCATTGTATTTACGGGTGTGCAAATTGTGGCTTTGAGTCAAAATACACTCTGCCCTTCCCTCCCCCCCCCAGCTCTAATAATGGACTTACAAAAGATGCTGTCCCATGCTGCCCCTGCTATTAAAGACTTTACAATGGACTATTCATCAAGCAATCCTTTTTCCTTCTTTTCCTCAATTATTAAAGCTGATGACTTACACAACTGCACTGCACAGGCTTCCAATACCACTTTTTACCCCTCTGGCCACTTAAAATTAGCCATTCTTTTGTGCCAATTCCTCTCTCCTCCAAATTATCTAGGAATTTTCCACATGCATATTGAATACTTTAGAGAAATTAAGGCAAGAAATCTGTTAGATGTAACTTTTGTTCAGTGAATTGGTTAAGTTAGGGAATTGCATTAGTCTAACAGGACATACCTTTAGCAAACTTGAGTTTTCACACATGTGGTTCACAACTGTCTGGGGCTGAGGCAAATAAAATGAGAATCCCTTAGAGTTCTCTTCTGATTATGCAGTCCCTGATTTAGCTTCCAGTTCCTCAAGTTACTCCAGTGGGTGTGCAAACCAGTCATAGATAAGAGAACCAAATGCTACTTTGCTACAATGTAAATAACATCAGTAGTTTGAGTATAACCAGGTAACACTTGAAACAGCTGGACAGAAAATATTTTTAAATGGTCAAAGTGCCAGTCATAATAAATCACACAGAATAGGAGTTTCTCTGCATTAAGATTTAACTTTCAGTCTAAGCTCCTTCACAAAAAAAAAAAAGGCTAAATAATCCTCTTTAAGAAGCCTTTCATGTCAAATTACACACCAATCAGCACCTACAAACACTAACAGAGCTACTAAAAAGGTAGACCCAGACGTGCCTGGATTAAATGCTGTCTGAAGCAAAGTGAAATAAGCTTGAAAGCTCTAACAGACTATTAAATGCAGTTCCATAGGTGGTCCAAGTTGCTCTCTCCACCTGCTTTGTGTCAGGAATCAGTTCTTTTACACACACATTTGGGTCAAAAAATCCCAAACCAAACAAACTCAAGGAAATACCAAACAACAACAACAACAACAGAATCCCACCACAACAAAAAGACAACAAAGGAAATAAAATTCTACTTAAAGAATTTAGAACTGCACCTGAAAAACAACCCACCCCAAAACACAAAGAAGTCTTTAAGTAAAATTGGTCTTACAATACCAGTCTTTATTCAAGACAGATTGAAAATAAATACTTGCCAGTAGTTCACTTACTCTGAAAACAGAAATCAAAAATAATCTACTTCATCAGTATTAACCATTTTAAAATTAGCTGATGAGCTCCAGCTTATTTCAAGTACACATAAATTTCAAGGCAACAGAGAATGTATTTATAATTTTTATGTGTGTGTATGTATACACACATATTGCATATATACACATATTTTGCTGCCACCTTGTGAACAGTCTCTGAATAAGGAGGTTTGGTTCACACAGACCCAACTCTGCCATCTTTGTTCACATTTAGACCAACTGACTTTAACACAGATACTTTTTAAATGGGTGTTCAATGTGACAAAGGATGACTGAATCAAGTGCTTAGTGCAGAAAATTTTAAAAGGCTGAATATAAGAGCTCTTACTCTTTCACAGTTTCCATGCACTTGTGTCCCAGTTTATTGCCACAACCATTATGGAAAACATCACTAAATTCTTTCTGATAAAAATATTGCAGCTTTGCATCCAAGCTGTATGGCTGTCTTCAAAACAGAATAAGCTGGTGTCTGAAAAAAGAATAAAAGATTAAATACATCTCCTGAAGTGTTTTGCTTGAACCAAAATGTGATAAGGAATAGTAAGCATCATATAAAAACAAAAAACACACACACAAAAGAATCTCACCTGCATTTGTAGTCTAATTGACCATAGAGAAAACTAAACTAAAATCTATCAGCTTTGCAGAATATTTCCATTTCTCCACAAATGTAATTCAGGAGAAAAATAAGGAGAGAAGCCACACGCTTCTCATCTATTATTCCAGGGAGCACAGAATTCAGTTCAATATTTCCCAGTTCCTAACAGGGTTGTGACCATCTACCAAGATGATGCCTCAAGTTCCCAGCTGTATGTGTAGCACTTATTAGCCTTATCTTCAAAAATATCTAATCTAAACTTAAATTACAATAAAATTTAAAATTTTGCAGAGCAAACCTCTAGGGAAAACACAGTCACTTCAACACTTGAGTTCCAACAGATTTGGTTGTCCTCCAGAAAAATGAAAGCTGTAATATTGCAGAGCTTTCTTCTATGGATCTTTGGGAAAGAACAACATTTTACTTACTGCTTCTGCATCGTGCTCTATCCCAATGTCATGGTGCTCCCGTTCATCATCCCGAAATTGCTTTATTACCTTTAGAAATAGCAGGTAATTAGCAAGTCTACTTTGCAGACAAATCAAGGCAGCTGGTACACAAAACTATCTGCCATTGACCACTGCATGCACCACAGCAAGCTGAGGTCTCTCAAGAAACTTCTCAAAGATCTGAATCTCTAATTCAGAAAGAAGGGAATTCTTTACAGTATTCTCCAAAGAAAGTCTTTAAGGCCAAGGTGCTGTTTAATATATCACTGTCTTTTTCACTGTTTAAAAAAAACTTATAGTCACAGTAAACTTTTAACACTGATTAGTTTCACCCGCACACATACATTACTCTGACAATCAGAATAAGGAAATTAAGGTCTCTTTCTTATCAATCTTTCCCTGTAGGCCAACTGGGATTTTGTCTATTCTAAAAAACTCTTTTTTCTTTTTGAGTTTTTCAACTGGGACCAAAAGGCACTGTGTGCAGCTCTGGGCCCTGCAGTTTAAGGAGGATGTGAAGGTACCTGAATGCGTTCAGAGCAGGGCAACAAAGCTACTATGCAATCATATTTCTGCCTTTTGTTTCCCCTTCAAACCCTTCCTTTTAATTAAAATTAATCAAAATTAAAGCACAATTCTCCCACTCAAAAGGGAAATGCTGAGTTACTGAAAGTATGCTGAAGATAACCCAACATATATTTTAATTTTGGTGCTTGATCAATTTAGTGTTGCTGAAGGAAAAAAACATCCTTTTATCTTAAGTTTCTGCTGACTTGAGCATTCTAAGTGACAGACACAGAGATCTACTGTAAATTCTACGAGCATGTCATTTTTAAAAGACTAAAGTTGCATCAGGTGATTCAATGAGTTTGTTAAGCTACTTTTTAAGTCAGTTAAATACCTGCAATAGTTCTTTGTACTTTTCTGGATCTTCTTCCATCAGAGTTCGGATCTGGTTGTTGTAGTGGTCTGATATACTCTCTTCCACTGCCACTGTGCAAGCCATGGCACCCTTCTTTCCCAGTAAAGCACTTCCAGCCCCTGTGGTTGTGGTGCCAAACATACGAACACAATGAAATCTGAAGCAACACAAATAATTTGCACATTTGTAGACTTCGTAAAATGACAACAACGAAACAACGATAACAACAACAACAATAATAATACAAACCCACCTAAAACAAAACCTGCTACATTCCAGAAAGGCAATAAAACAGTAGGTCGAACTCTGTATGCAACCATGAGCTCATTGAACTTTTTCAGGTGGACTTTTTCTTGATTCCACATTTGCTGCAAAAGAGCCAGATCACAGTGAAGTACAAAATCACAGAAATTAAACGTTTCCAGTAAAAGTAATAAACGCAAAGAAAAACGAAACAAAACCACACTGTAACAGCTAAGGTAACACTATAACATCACAGAAAAAATGAAGAAGGGCAGACGAGGATAGTAACAAAAAGGCAACATAAAAACATTTGGGAAAATAGGACAACACTACAGCATCTGTAATACTGGTAACTTCCTTAGCAAGTAATCCTCCCCCCTCTTCACAAACACACCCGTTTGGACGTGCTTAGAAAAAGATGTACAACAAACTTGCCACGAAAGCGATGACCTTTCACCTTCATCCGGGGCGCTGTTAATTAGACGCAAATTAACACAGCGCTCGCCCCCAGGCCCACTGACCTGGATGACCGGTCCCACGCTCGACCTGCCCAGCACGGCCATTTGCCCCGCGTAAATGCGGTTGGCCCCGTACTCCCCCGCGTGGTCTACGCGGATGATGCGGTCTATGATGGGCTTGTTGATGCCCTGCGGAGCCGCCTGCGTGCTGCACGGTCTGGGAGCGGCCCCGCCGGCGGGCACAGGCCGCGGACCTGTCGGAGAGACAAAGGTGACACGAGCTCCGCTATGCCCAGCCCCAGCCGAGGCGCTGCCCCCCGAGGGGCCGGGCGGCTGTGCGGGGGACAGGCAAGAAGCGGAGGGCAGGGCCCGTACCGGGCCCGCAGCGGAGGCACCGGCGCCGCCCCAGCGAGAGCCGCACCGCAGGGAATGCAGCCACCGCCGCCATCGCGCTGATCCACGGCGGCTACTCTGTAACGTCATCACCGCGCGCCGGCTCCCGCCCTATCACGACTCCGATTGGCTCCCCCGAGCCGCCGCATTGGGCAGCCCAGCTGTCAGTCAGAGCCGGCGTCGCCCGGTTGCCGTGGGAACGGGGGCGGGGCTCACCATTCCCGCCCCCCGTGGCCAAGGCGGGAACCGCGGGTGGAGCGCTGAGGGCGCGGGCCGGCCCCGCCCGCAGCCACCGCAACCTGCTTCAAAACATCACACCTTGGAGTAAAAAATAGAACATTTATTGAACGCTAATCTCTTTAAAATGAAGGCAGAAAACATCCCGGAGCATTACATAAAAAGAATAGTGTCTCACATTAACCAAAGAGCAGATTTCAAGGAATATACACAATTCTGTACAGAAAATACTTAACATCAATCTTTAAATAAAGGAATCTCTGTTAGTAGCCTCCCGGTACACACCGCTGGGACTCACATGGCCCCAGCAGTACAGATAAGCGAGAAGAAACGTGAAATTAAGGGGCACTGACACACAGTGCTACCAACCAATAACTCTTAAATATTCACATTTTAGAGTAAAAAGAACAGTAGTCAAGATGCTCACACAAGAATAGAACACAAATAATAATGCTTTAAAACATTAAAAAAAGGGGGAAAAAAGAAAAAGAAAAAAAAGGCCCCTCCACAGCAGCTGGTGCCCAAGCAGGGCTGTGCCTGCTGACCTGGCTGCTCTTCTCCTCCTACCCCCCAGTGTTTATTCAGAGCTCTTTTATCATAACATTTATATTGTTTTCTCTGAGCCATTCTGCAACATTATCCAGTGTTCAACCGCACTTGCTACTTCAGAGCAAAATAAATATAAAAGCCTCATCTCTAAAAATATTTAGAAAACTGATTTCAAACCCATCTGTGGTATTTTCTTCTCCCATGCACCGTTTCAAAATACTTGCCTACATCTTTTTTTTGCTTCAGTTTTAAAAAGAGAAGGGAGTTGGAAACATGTAGTACCATACTCTTCCCCTCCCTCATGATTCTTAGAGCATAATTTGTAAAAACAGTACAAGAGAGTTTCAGTTATGATCACATTTTACCCCAACTCCTTGGAAAAACAGGACTTAAATCCCAACAACCCTGAAGCTGGAGCAGCAATAAAGTGTCCCACCATACAATTTTTCTGAACAGGTCTAACACAGTATAAATTAGCTGAATGTCCAGTTTTGGAAACTTTAGGCCCTACCGGCTTAATCAAGACTAAGACCACAAGTGTCCATTACATAGACTGCAGTGCCATGGTGCCAGTCAGCTGCTCAATTTTGTGGTGCTGCAGATGCTTCTACTCTTATCTTGTGGTTCTGGGAGTTTCAGGAAGTCAAGTTCTTTTGGCTTTCATGGTTTTCAAGGACACCTCTTAGCTTCTGTTATCTTTCTGATTAGGAACATCTTGTCACGACTCTCCTGGAAAGACAGAATAAAAAGTATGCTCTACATGAACAGTGTTAATACAAGTTATCTATGAACAGCTCATGTCTTTATTAGAAATAAATAGGTGTGCTCACTACATTGTACTCTCATTAGTGGCTCCCAGGACACTCTCAACTGCCTGAACAATTTTAAGTTTACAACAGCCTTGACTTCATTTATCTCACATTATGTCACACATTAACAGTTCTGCATTGAGCCTTGTAAAAGCATCTCATACACCTAAAAATTTAAAACTCTACTTCCAAGAAGTATAACAACAGTGAGCAAACAAAAATAAAAAGCATGCAATAATTTTCAGAATTCCTAACTGATCTGCAAACCCTTCAAAAAGCAGGCAAGCTTTTGTACCTAAATTCCCTAATCCTCAAAAATCTCTCTCCAGCAGTTTTTTTTTCTACAGATGGGTTGTTAAATTCTGTATCTAAAAGAAGCATTACCAAGAAATGGGCTATTTCCTAAGAAAGTGAGAAGTCTCAGTAGTGAAGCTGGGTTCCAACTCAAGCAGTTTGTCAGAGCACAGCACACGAGTGATGCCAAACCTGGCAGCGGCTTTTGATGGCCACAAAGCAGCATTTCTGCACTAGCAGTCCTTCCCCAAAGGACTGGTTAGCAGGGACTCGTTCCACTTTCAGTACCTGCTCAAGAGGTGCTGGGACCTGCTTTCAGGAACGAGACCAGACATGATGCAGTAGAAATACAGGCCTGGAGGGAAGGGTAGGGAGTCAGGTGCCTGTTTGTGAGGGCAGAAAAGGAAACAGAAGTGGGGGTTCTGCAAGACGGTGGAGGGGACAGGAAGCACAAGATTCAGGTTTTCTTTTGGCAGAAAAAACACATGGATGGGTGGATTTAAGCAAGGCAACAGATGAAAAACAGGGACACAGCTTCTCAGAGGCCTATTTCTTGCATGTGCGTTGCCTGATAATACCAGACCTTGGTAGAGTTGTAGCTGACACCCATGAAAATGAACTGCACTGAGAAACACCAACTCTGCTGTGAAATACCATAATTCTTTGGTTATTTTCCTGTGTAATTTGTAAAACATTCTCCACTGCCTGTGCAAACACCAAGTATCCAGGAGACCATAAAAACCGCTGTTCCTCTGCATGCCTCATTTCTGTGCCCCTAAAGTTCTCTTTGTTGTGTCAGTAAACTGGGTCAAATCTCACCAAAGCCAGTTGTTCTTCCAGCCGCTCAACCACTCGTTTGTGTGCTCCAGCCAAGGCCATAAAATAGAACATAATGAGGCTGCAAACAACAAACAAACACTGTATGTTAGCATCATGCAAAACACCATCGGTCACAAAAAGGCTGTTATGGGCTAGAGAAATGGTCAGTTTGCGGGTTCAGATAAGAAGTTGTTGGAGAAAAAGAAATATTTCTTAAAAAAAGAAAAAAAATCAATATGCTGCTGGGGTAGGTCGGGCATAGCTCTGCTCAAAAGCATCTGCTGAGAGATTTGTGCTGCCAGCAGGCAGGGCCTGTGTTAGGGAGTGCCAGGGGACAGGGAGGCACGACACAGATGTTACGGGCTGCATTCTGACATCTCTGTCTAGACTGTTAGTTCCTGCCCTGCTCCAAGTGTATGTATGGGGGGGTTGTTCCTGAGAAATCAGGTTTAATGAGGCTTCATTGGAGTAACTCTGCTCCCACTGGGGTTTCTAACTAAGGTAAGCAGCCACAGATGAGTATGGCAGCCATTTTGTATATCACATATCCCAGTGTAATCTGTGACTCTGATTATCCACAGTGCATTAAATGATGAAAAATAACAAGAACCACAACGGTAGAAATGCCTATATAAATCATGTATTTTCTTTTCCAAATAATAAGCAGTAGGGTAGAGTGCAAGTCATCCTTCACCTTTTACATGGACTTTATGATAAAGTAAAAAAAGAAAAAAAACAAACAAAGAGGACTTGAGATTTCCTGTATACATAATAACAGATCCAGTTGACTGCAAATGAAAAATGTGGTCTAATAGATGTTTGGTATTAGTTCAGTAAGGAAGGAAATAAAGCTGCATAAGTGAATCAGGTCTCCACAGTACTCACCAAATGACCATAAAAAAAGGCACTGCAAAGGCTTCTGATGCCATGCCAAAAAGGACCTGCTGCAGACCTTTTGGAAACCCACGTATTGTATCTGGAACAACTTCCCATGAAGTGTTAAAATTCCTAAATGGCCCACACGCCTTGGAGGAGGGGATACTGTCAAAGAAGCAGAACAGAAAGAAGACGTTACACCAAAATGTAAAGATAAAATAATCCAACACAAGCCCAGCACCATTTTGCCGATGGGGTAAAAGTGTCCTGTGTCTTTAAAACTGCAATTTTTGTTTATACGAACTGAGTTATAATTTGATGTATTATACACTATATATTTCATTCCAATTTATCATTCCAAAGTCATGTGTCTGCTTTTACAGAACTGACAACTTTAGAACAAGTGTCACCTTCAGAAAAGTTAAGCTGTCACTTACCTTGCTATGCTGACTCCCACAGGAATAAAAGCCAAGATGAGCCCAATCAACAGCACTGCCAGGAAGAAAAAGTTGGAACTTGATGCCCTGATAGGCCTATCTGCAGGTTTTCGTGCATGTATCAAACTGATCTGAGGAGGGAAAGCCAGCAAGACTGTTACCAGTACATTTATATACATACATCCGAGTATACTTTCCCCACCAGCTGAATTTTCCATTCTCAAATGTGCTACCAGCTACTACACAACCACCCTCCTTTGATGCACATGGGCTGAAAAGGGCTAAGACAAGAACGCCTTACATTTTGGTCTAAGTCTCCTATTCTGATTAAGAATTTGGCCCAGGGGACCCCATGTACTTTCACAGTCAACAGACACACCCAACCCAGCTTGGATTTTCCATTTTGCTTCCAAATTTTTAGCAGTTTTGCGAAATTTTGCCCAAGTTCTAAGCTGTGTTGCTAATAAATAGATTATTGCAGGAAAGTGCTGTAAAGTAGCTTTGGTACATAAAAAGATTTTATTAAAAAAAAAGGACAAAAAATTGAAGAGGTAGTAACTGAAATGTGGCTTTGCTTGATCTCAAAGCAAAATTCTACCTTCACTTAACAGTAAAAAACCTACAGAAAATGGAATACCATTGCCTCATTCCAGTACCCTGCATCCACAGGTGTTTTTGTTTCAGATCACCTGCATACCTAAATACCTATATTACAAAAACCACAGAGATGTGCTTAGTTTTCTTTGTTAACCATACACCTTCATTACCTTTTTAATGTAAAAGATGATGAAGTATTTAACAGTTGCTATTGCAGGGAGAAGTGGTGAAAAGAAGGTTCCAATCCAGCAAATAGTCTGCCCATAAATGATTTCAAGGACATTGTCAGAAATTCTAAATTCCGACAATCCCCACCACTGAACTGGCTTGCAGGAGCAATGAGTAACTAACAACCTAAAACCAAAGAATATCATTAGTCCTAAATTTAAGTTATAGTGCTCAGATGAATTCTAACACATTTGGAACACACAGAATTTATCATTTAAGCATTAGAC